TGTATTTATCCAAATAATCATTTTCTTTTACATCATCTACAACTAAATGCAGCCAACCCCTGAACAAGAGCATGTAGTTGTTATTTAGTTTTTTTAGTAACCTTACTGATCAGATACATATATAAAAAAAATAGGAGTAGAAATGGACGTAGAAATGTAATGCAACCATTATATGTTTACATCCATACCATACAGAAAAACAAAAGAAAATGTTTTCATTATATTAATGACTGTACGTTGGTGCTTTTGGACAAAACACTGGGAATTGATATTAACAAATAGAATATGCCTAAAAGATTAGCCCCCAGAAAGAAGAAAAAATTGTATGCTCAATTAAAGGAGAAAGAATCGAGGAACCTGATCCTGAAGATCTGGAACTGAATCAATCTCCCCATCTCCATTCAGGCTAATAAGCACTTCATCTGCATTGGTGCTTCCAGACTCTGAACGAGATAAATTTCCATTTGACTGTGTTCCCTTGGTTCTATCTATCAGCATTGATTTGGGGTCATTCTTAAAATTATAAAGCTTAGATGCCAAACCCTGGGAAACCCTCCAAGCCTGAAGTCCCTTGGATCTTTCCTCGAGGGCTGCTATCACATCTGGCCTATGCTTGTTTCTCAATTCTTTTAATCTATCTTCATTCACATTTTGGTAACCCATGCAAGCTGTCAATACAAGTTGACTGCTATCAAATGTTGAGCCGGCCAGTGACTGTAACAAAGTAACTGCATCTCCAGCATCTTTTGTTGTAACTAATGCAGGACCTACAAGAAACAGAGATAAATCAAAGTTCTGCAAACTAAAACAGCCTAGAAGATAATATTATGTTCAACAATTCCTACAAGACGTCACATAATTATAAGGAAAAAAAAAGAAATTGATGCTTTTACCCAGTACCATATAACTCCATCAATGCAAGCGCTGTCCTAAAAAGCATAACACGGTTTCCTTCATAAAGAAGCACATCCCAGACTCGAAGAACTGTTGGGAGAAGTCATCATATCAGAAAGCTAGTAATAAGCATTTACCAATCCCAATGATAGCAATAAATAACTAGAACAAAATACATATATATATATATATATATTGCAAAGACTAGAGCAATAACAAAGTCATAAATAAGATTAGCTTAATATTTCTAAATGATACAACATAAAACCTGACCACTTTCCCATGGAAGCATGTTCATGAAAATGGAGAGGAACCATGGTCCAGTAACCCATGCAACCTGCACGCCCAGGTAATCTAGATGGTTGACTGCATAAAATGTAAAATTGACATCAAACCTCCAGGAAAAGAAAAGGCTTCAATTGAAGCAAACACTTCAAGAAAATGAGAATCCAAATAAATGGAAACAGAAAAATAAACCTAATTTAGGAAATCTTTCACGCACCAACTCTTCAAATACAAGTTGGTCCACCTGAGAAAAAGAGAATTTATTGCAAACTGTTCACAATAGCTGAATGAACTCATAAAATGCATTACAAGTTCTTACGGAGAAACCACAAATACATAGAAACACAGAGAGAAAATACAAAGGAAGGATATTGGAACTATAACCTGGGACTCAATCATTTCCTCAGAGTAATAACCATCAAAATAATCATCAATAATGCCCACCAATGTCCTGGAAATTAGACCAGATCTTAGAAGCATTGGTACCATTTTTTTAAATAAAAAGTATAGAATGTATATTAATAAGGTACCAAATCGGGGTACCGCCCATCCTATAAAAAGTATAGGATGTAGAAGCATTGGTACCATAGAAAGCAATTACTATGAAATAAAGTATAAAATGACGTCAAACTAATGAAAGTTCATTTGCTGTTCCTGAAAATGAAGTAACAAATGTCTCCATGTAAAAAAAGGTACTACCATATATTTTTTTAAAAAAATAAATTTATAATGTAAGAAATCGGCACCTAAACAGGACGCAAGACAAAAAGAAATCATTTCAGAGATATAATCTTTTTTCAGAGAAAAAGGATATTTCATAGACAAATTTTACAATAAGTATCTAAACAGGGTAACATACCAAAAGGCATTTTCTTCTGGCATGAGAAGTAGCAACAATGCAGCAAAGAAATTCATGGCCTGCATGTGAATATTATATGAAGCAGCTTAGAAATAGGTAAGAGAAGTCTATATATAACAGCTATGATAAGTAAAAATGAAAATAGAAGAAGAAAAAGAGAGAAGCTTCTGCACAAGAGACAGAATATAAAAGCTTCAACATGTATTTAGCCGCATATGCTCTATATATAGGTTCTGTTTGATTTCAGTTCCACTCCATTCCCGGTTCCTTTTCATTCTTAACATTCATAATAGTTGGTATGTATAATTAAACATATATATATTTGTAAAATTTTTGTATATGGGTTTCATCACTTTAGTATTTTTTAATACTATATTTTTTTCTAAAAAAAATATATTTGAGATGTGCCCACCCCAAAGAATTCAAATTTAAAGTGGGGACAGCTTAAACATAAAATTAAGTTGCAATTTTATAGTCAAGATTATTATGAAAAGTAAAAAAATAGGAACTACTAGAAGTTAAATAAGAATAGAATCCAGTTCAAAATACACAAAAAATAAAGATGACAAATTCATAATATTTATGTCAAACATGCAGCTTGATACTCTCAATTATGGAAGGAATGGTGGAATGTTATTTCATCCAGCCATCACTGCAAGTTTCAACTTATAAAAACAACTTCTTCAGACCATATGCATTACTCAAAGACCACTAGGATAAGGAAAAAAATGTTTAAAATGTACGTACACTTCTTAGATATCTGATTGGGAAATCAATGGGGGCCTGATTTTGGAGGCTAAAATCTTTGGAGGTACCTCATAATGAAATACGCACAATTCAATATATTCAGCCATTAGAATTTGACTGTAAAAATACAGGGCAACAAAATCAAACCTAGAGATACTGAAATCTGATTCTATTCACCAGTTTGTCATGTTAGCTGAAAGCACTCCACAGAGGAATACAAGTCCTCGCCTAGTTATTAACCGCTTTATAGCAATTAACAACAAAATACCACGAATTCAGTTGCTGTCATATCTGAATATGCAAGCATCAAGATCCCAAGTGAATGGAACAGCATATGCACACTCATTAAAAAAGTGCATAATGATGAATGGAAAGGTAGTCTGTAACTTAGGGACGAGTGAATTTTTCGGTCTTAGTTAATACCTGACAGTATCCAACAGATGGGTTATGCCGTGCATATGCAGTAAGTAATCGCCTCAAAGCATTTCTACCATCAGCGTCTAGTGCAGGATGACCTGGAAAGGTTCTAGGCAAATCCTGCACTTAAAGCAGCAATGAGTTCAGATAGTCAGAATCATATCTCCACACAGATGAAAGAAAATGACATAAACATTAGGAGAAAAATGCAGTTAACAACCTTCTCAATCTGCCCTTTCCATTTCTCAACCACACAACCAGCATCTATAGTTGAACCCTTAATATGGCTATCTGACTGCGAACCTTGTTGATCCACATTGTTGCTTGGATTAGTTTCTTGAGCAAGCAGACCTTCATAGTATTTTTCTGTTCTACGTGTCTTCACACCCACAAAGGCTTGCCAAAGCTGAAATATGTGAGAATTATAATGGAAAAAAGAAAATGAGGCATGGTTCTTAAGAGGTGAACTTTGTGGGCAGAGAAAAGTGCAAGGGAGAGATGGAAGTTAGGAGAGATCAAAAGGCATTACCTCTCCCCTAAGAGCCATTGGCACTCCTCCACGAACCAGGACTTCCAACTCTTCCTTCCATGGAAATGAAGATTCCAGAGGGGCTGTTTCAGCAGTACCAGCTGTCGTAGAGGCAGTCACACTATCAGTAGAAGGACCTTCCTGAATCGGGTCTGATCTTTCAACATCATAAAACTCATCCTCTGAGTCCTCCTCCGATGCTCCTTTCGGAAATTTCGCATCTTCAATTGGAGACGCTGGCTTCAGTTTTCCAGTCTCCTGCTCATTTTTGGGTAAATTTGCCTTCTTCACACGAATACTCATCATGTCTTCAATGGCATGCAGGGAGGATCTTATCTCAGTCCAGATTTGTATCCTATGAATCGTCTTCTCCGCAGAGGACTGTACCTCCCCCTCATCTCCTTCAACAACCTTCACTAAAGTACCATCAGCCACTTCCCCATTAGCTTCAGTATCCAATGCTTTGTTATGCTCCTCAAAAGAAGACCCATTTTCAGGCAATTGAGTAGGCTCTGCTTGACGGTCCAAGAAACTCTTCCACCTATCTGATCTTTCCTCCTCTTCCTCCTAAGATAATCAAACAAAAGGATCTCACGTCTCTTTCTCCAAATTCATTTTTCTTTACATTTCCATTTGATTACCATATGAGGTGTTAACATTTGAATTGCGAATTTCATCATTTTTGAATTAAAGATGAAAAGAATTCTCACTGATCCTAAAACAACTAATTATCGTACTTTACTCGATGCAATAAACCCCTCCTTTGCTTAGTCTGTTCATTTTTTTAGTTGTAAGTGCCTTCTTACATATGTTCAGTTTTTCAATCACGACACATTGTTTTCCCTTTGTCCTACACTCATTAAGTAGCCAAAAGGAGACAAACTTTGCCAGAAACCAAAGAGAAAGTTATCAAATTAAAAAAGAAAAAAAAACAAAGATGAAAACCTTGTATATGTTAGCATATTCTCTGTATCTCTGCACATGCTGAGGTCTCACCGCAAATCCATATGCGTCCCTGTCCACCATAAGAGTACTTATTAATTTTCTCCCAAAAAAAGTGCAACAAAACCCGCTATGTTCACAAGTGGCTACCAATTCTAGTACAAACCCGTCAAATCAACTCCTCCAAACTACTGCCTCCTTACATTTTACAACCAGATACTCCATTTAATTTCTCTATTCTATTTCCCATATCAGTTATTTCTTATCGTCTTAGTTCAAACTCAGTGCACTAAAAATCATGCCGCATTTCAAGCACAATCCCTTAATTACCCAAATCAAATGCAAACAACTGAAAATCAATTTTAGTCCAGATCATACATAAAACTTTCGACAGCCAACACGAACAGTTAGATTCAATCGATCAAAATCGAAAAAGTTGAAACAAATTAAAACGAGAAAACGAAAAGATCGACTCAGTTCAAAGCCAAATTCAACTGAAAATGAGTACGTATGTGATATGCCAAGTGCATAAACTACCGATTTCGGGATCAAACTGAGATAGAGAAGAGGAAGATAAGGAACGCGTGGCAGAATATATAGAACTATAGAAGGCAGGATGAAAGAAGAGTACCTCTTGTGCTCGAAAGTTATGAGAGGGTTTACGGCCTTGGAGGTAACGGCTGCCTTCATTTGCTAACGCCGATCGACTCGATTGGCCCCTGAGATCTCACTTGGTGTCGGCGCTGGTCGACGGACTGTCAAGGATCTCGCTCTCTGCAAGTGAATTGCAATATGGATAGATATTTCGGTTTCCTCAGAGTAGCAGTGAGTGTTTGTTCGGTGCCGGGAGGAGAGAGAGAGAGAGAGAGAGAGAGAGAGAATCACATGCAGAAGGCGAGATTAGCGTCGCATTATTACATGTACTGATATCTTAACACGGAGTCCAAAATGAAGATCAGACCTGACTCAGAGAAGGAGAGAGAAGAAATAGGGTTGAAATTTACTTTTTTAAAATTTATTTGAAAGTTTAATTTTTTTCATTAATTACCAAAATTACACTTTTCTCCAGTAATTTAAATATTTAATTATCACAATATCTTTTCAAATTTTCTTTTTCTGATATTTATATTAAACAAAACTGCTTTTAATTTTTTAAGCAAATTATTAAAGATTGTGAGAATGCATGACAATTTATAAACGTTAAATAATTTATAAGGCATAAAAAATTTCTTATATTTTTATAATTAAATAATATATTTAATTACTTTAATAATAAATTTACATTATTTTCGCAAACTTAATGTTGACATCTCTTAAAAAGTTTTGGATAATATTGTATTTTTTTGAATTTTTGCCTATAAATTAATTGACCGTTATACTTCTATCCATGTATCAATTAAAAGGCAAGTGAAAATCAATTACTTAATATGTTATATTATTAATTAATTAATAAATTTATTTTTAAAATAATTTTATTTTAATATATTTTATTTCCTTTTTAGGTAAATTTTTCTGCATGCTCTTTAGTTCTCTAATGTTTCAATTTTGATTTGATTGCACCACACCATACTAATAACAATAATAATAATAATAATAATAATAATAATAATAATAATAATAATAATGGGATCCTTAAAAAAATATTTTTTTAAAAGAATATTGTTTATAGATTTACATTTATTTTTTTAATATAAAAATCATAAAAAGTAAGCTAATATAAAATTGTATATAAAAATTAAAATAATACCACCTAACTTTTATCAATATTTACTTTATATTTGGTTAACCTATCAAATTCTCATTCAATTTATAACTTTTAATTATCTAATAAACAGTAAGTTAATCGTAATTAATACATTTAAAGCATAAAGTAATTAATTTTATACATATTTAATTTTGTAATAATAAATATGTATTCTCATGGACAACAAAATAAAACATAAAAATTACTTAATTGAATTATAAATAAAAATATATAATATTATTTTTATTTAAAATATATTATATTTTTGTTCATATTTTATGAAATTATATATTTAACTTATAATAATTAATATCTTAAAATATAAATGATTGAGTTATTAAAACTGCTAGATTAAATTAGATATATAATTGATTTAAAATTTTAATATCATTTTTATTTAAAGTTTATCATATTGATATTATATTTATGATGATATTTCATAAATTAAATTTTGAAAAAAAAAAATTAGTATTATAAAATTTAGAATTCTTTATACGAGTTCCGTTTAAAATTAAAAAAAATATATTATATTTTGTAAAATTATATATTTAACTTTGTAATAGTAGATATTATGTAAATAAATGAATCATAAAAAAATATTAAGTTAAATTAGATATAGAACTAATTTGAAATTATAATATAATTTTTATTTAAAAATATAAATTTCGAACTATTTGGGAAGTAATTAGTGATTACGATTGTCGGCAATTAAATTTTTTAATTTATGAAAAAAATATAATAAAAGAAAATTAAAATTACTTCTCGTGGGCTCCATGATGGATCTTCATCACCCTCTTATCTTGTTAAAATAAAACAATGCTACAAAAAATTCACCATGCCTAATTGTCGAAAATAATAATTAGTGTTATGCACACTTAATCTTTATATATATATATATATATATATCTAATAAATTAAAAATTAGAAGTTATATTTTTTATTTAACATAAAGATAATATATGTATATTTTATGTTGTACTGTATAAAAATATAGGTGTTATACATTTAAGATCCCAAACAAGTGGGACCAATAGTGTATGTGTCTTTCTTTTTTTATTTACATTTTTTTAAGATAGTACTCTCTCTCTCTCTCTATATATATATATATATATGTATAAATATGTGTGTGTGTGGGGTGGGTATATACACCTACCCACAAGAAAAGGTTTAGTGCTTTGTCAAAATCAAAATGACCGTTCTATTGACAAAAAAGAAAGACCATTATTACACTTTTCTAAATATAATTATTGACATTTTTTTGAGAAAAAGATATACGCCTTATTTAATTAAAGTAAATGTATTAAATGAATTAAAACTCGAACCTGCATTATTGAAGAAAGATGAAAGTAGTATAAAAAAAAATTTATGTAATGATATAATAGATGTATGTATATATGCAAATGTGGATAAAGACTCGGGTGACGTCATTTTGTTTTGTGTTTACTGCTTTTCTAATAACACCTTTCACGTCATTTCCTCCATCAAAACATAAAATTAACTTGCCTTTTTTTTTTTCTTTTGCCTAAAAACATTTCATTTAATATTTAATTTGAATTTTACTTTTTTGGTAATTAAGAAAAGACAGAAGAACAGTCAAACAGTCAACAATATCAGGTTTTAAATTTAACAAAATGACTAAATTAAATAGTGGATTGAAAGTTGGGTACTTAATTTAATTGTATATTTTAAAAAAATAGTAATTGATATAAAAAGTTAATAAATTTATGATAAATTAAGTATTTGATTGTGAATATTACTAGGCAGAAATAGGAATAAAATTATATCTAAATTAACATGCAAAGAAGAAAAAGTTTAGTAAAATATTTTTTTAAATGTTGGAAATTAATAGAAAAAAATCACCGCTAAAATTCTAAATCAAAATCTCAAACATTCACTGACGGAGAAAAATATGAAGTCAATAAACTAACGACTGCAGCGCGGTTCCGGTTGAAAAGCGCCCATGTCAGGCCTAAAGCTTTCAATCGGCCGCGGCGGCCGTCAGTCTACGCCCGAACCGTAACAGTGGGGTCCGCACCATCGGACCTACCACCGCCCGCCACCG